ACAACCCCTTGTTTCATTTTTATTCTTTTAAGAGGAAAGTTACATTAAGTTCCCATCCTTTTCGTTTGTAATATCTTTTTATCATCAATAAAATGTGTATCTCGAACTTGGATTTTCTTGCTGAATTGTTTTTGAAAGGCAAAAAAAAAAATTCCTTCTCAAAACTATTTGGCTTATGAAGTCCTCCAAGCACCACAAAATAAGACATATTTACGTACGATAGTGATGATGATGGTGATTATTATTATTATTATTATTATTATTTTTTTTTTGGGGTTCTTCAATTGATTAAGTGCAAACAAAAAAAAATTAAGAAGCTTAGAAAAAGCAATATAAAGAAAGTAGAGTCGACCATAGCTTGATGTTTATGTATAAAATTTATAATTAAACTAATTGTTCAGAAATTATCGGTAGCCACAGAAGCTACAATTTCAATTTGGCCATTGAGTAATCTATTTGTAAATTTAGTTTCCCTAAATTTAGAAATGGTTTGGGAAGGTTATAACTGTATGCCAGTAATAGAGAAAGATTCATCAAGATTGGAATCAGAACTTGAGCCAAATAGGAAAGGGCTCGAATATTTTTACATGGCCTGAGATGCTGAATTATTTATTGGTACCATTAGCATTCCACAAGCAACTGCTCCACCCCCATGCAAAATGATCAAGTTTGTGACAATTGTAACATTCAATTTGAGAAATCATTTCTCACCATTTTTTTCTTCATTCTTTTTGAGAATTATGTCTTCCTAACCCTCTTATACTGTGTAAGTATTCGTAATTTTCCTTCTTAATTTGATGAACGTTGGAAATTTGTATATCCTCTTCCACGTTCTCTATGGTTTCTACTGCTTTTCTCTTCGTTTTTTAAAGTAAAATTTGTTTACAAGACTGTTCAGGTTGACCCATATTGATTGTGGATGGGGTTGGTATTCAGTTCATAAGTATGAGGAAAAGCCTCACCTCTTAAGTTAGCTTTTAGGGTGAGAGGGTCAATACTACCTAAAACTGGTATCAAAGTCCGATTTATCAATAAGTCTCCAGTCCAATAGTTATGGAGATACGAGTTTGTGTGAGGGAAAGACGGATTTGGTCTCCTGCAGGCCCCGTTATGTGAGGGGAAGAAGGGTTTGGTCTCCCATAGGGCCCGATGTTTGGAGGAGACATATTTGGTCTCCCGCAAAGCCCGATGTATGAGGTAAGGTACATAAGTTCCCATCCTTTTCGTTTGTAATATCTTTTTATCATCAATATAATGTGTATCTCAGACTTGGATTTTTTTGCTGAAATGTTATTGAAAGGGAAAAAAATAATTTCTTCTCAAAACTGTTTGGCTTATGAAGTCTTCCAAACTTGTTGGGAACAAGCAAGTTACCAAAATTGCTATGATACCACTTGTTGATCCTGAAGGTGTTGCAAGAATTGAGATTTAATGACATAATATGAAATATGTGATGTAGACAATATCACAACAATATAAACAAAATTAAAGTAAAGAAATTAAATAGAGATTAGTAGAGGAATCGATGTTTTATTAAAGACAATATGTGGAGAAAATATAAGAATTCAGAAATAAAGCTTCATCTAAATTGAATGAAAAGCCTCATATTTATAGGGACATACCAAACCCTAAAAATATTATAAAGATAGAAATAACATAAAATTAATGTAGAATAAATGAAACAATATTTTCCAAAAAATTCACTGTAATTTGGAGCATAAAATCTAACAATCTCCACCTTGACCCGAATCCCGGTACAACGAACAAGGCTCCAAAATTTCTCCACCTTAAAAAATATGTCCGATTGCATCGAAATAACCAAACTCCTCAAATAGTAGCCAAAACTCTCTACCTTCTTTGCCCAATATCCAAAAATGGCAATCGAAGCCTAATCCGTGGTTTCTAGAATTCCAACGAGGAATTCAAAGTTAACCAAATAGGGTCGAAACACACCCTGTAGCAGAAACCACAGAAATGCCTAATTAGAAGCCTCTTGTTAAAACTGACACCTTCAAATACACCGAAAGCATTTCCAAAATCTCCAACACCGTACTTACACTCAATGGATCTAACCCTAGCATTTGAATAGAGTGCATCCGTTGAAATTGGTGACAAAGCAGAATCAACCCAGAGCCCATCACAAGAGGTTCTGTACCAAATTGAATGTCCACCACGATATTAAACCTGTCCAGATGTCTCTTAACTGGTTCTACGTGCCCTTGCAAGATGTACAATCGAGACTTTTTAGTCCATCTTGTATAACTCGACACCCCTTAGAATCATCAAGACTCCACTTTCACTAGAGAACTCATACCCTTTTGAATCTAGGGTATTCAGCGAGATGAGATTCTTCTTCAAGTCTAGAACATGTTGAACCTAACTAAGTATTCTGATTATCCATCTTGCAACCTCAATCTGATTTGACCGATTTCAACAACCTGACAACATTGGTTGTTTTTCATGATAACTCCAAATTGCTTAACCACCTCATATGACTCAAGCAAGTCTCAATTGGGACACATATGAAACGAGCACGCTGAATCCAAAATTTACTCCTCATTCGACTTAGATTCCGTGTTAGATAAAGTTAACACCACATCTTTACCATACGAAAAATCCTTGACAATATTGGTTTCATCTGAATTACCTGATTTCTTCCCATGTTTTGTAGTTAAGTTACCTTTTAGCCTTCAACTTTTCTCAATCCTTCTTAAAGTGTCCTTTTCTCCTACAGTAAAAGTAATACAAATTGTTGAAGTTCACCCTCGATCTACCCCTCCGTCGATCACCATGGGATACTAGAGCTTCCTCATCCCTAGATGTAGCTCCAACTAGATGTTTCATCTTTTCCTTTGAGAATAAAACATCATACACATCGTCGATGGTGAGTGTGTCACAACTATACAGAATTGTGTCCCGAAACAATGAATAAGGAACGGATAGTGAGCACAACATGATTAAAGCCAGATACTCCTCCATAATACTTAACCTCTAATGTTTTCAAATCCATGATGATTTCTCTGGAACACAGCTAGGTAGTCTTCTAGCGATCTTCCCTCTGCCAGGTGATGGGAATACAACATCTACTTTAGATGCAGTTTGCTCCTAAGACTTTTGGTCATGGACAATTGCTCTAGTTTCAACCACAAAGCAACCGCCGTTTTCTTCTTCAATACGTCCTCCAAAATGTTATCTGAAAGGTGAAGATGAGTCTGTGATAAAGCATTCTTGTCTTTCCGTTGTTTCTCCTCCATTGTCCCATTGTCTAAATTCATTTGCGCCAACACATCTCTCATCTTTATATTGTGATCTAGCAGTGGAATATCATATTTCAATGTAGCCATCTCAAAAAAAATCCCAATCAAATCATGAAAAATCTGCAGCCTAGCTCTAATACCACTTGTTGGGAACAAGCAAGTTACCAGAATCGCTCAGATATCGCTTGTTGATCCTGAAGGTATTGCAAGAATTGAGATTTAATGACACAATATAAAATATGTGATGTAGACAAAATCACAAGATTAATTTAAAGAAATTGAAGAGAGATTAGAAGAGGAATTGATATTTTATTAAAGACAATATATGAAAGAGAATACAAGAATTCAGTAATAAAGTTTTACCTAAATTGAATGAAGAGCCATATATTTACAAGGACATACCAAATTCTAAAAATATCATAAAGATGGAAATAATATAAAAATAATGAAGAATAAAGGAAATAATATTTTTCCTGTAAAATCACATGAGAATAAAGAAACAATATTTTCCAATAAAATCACTTGAAAATAAGGATAGCAATATTTTCAAACAAAAAAATTCACCCTAATTTGGAGCACAAAATCTAACAAAGACTTGTTCACAAGTGTTCCTACAACTTCATCAATGGTAATTTCTTCCAAGTCTTAGATTCTACAATCGCTGCCGCAATAAAATTGAATTTTTCATTTAAAAATCGAATAATTTTTTTTGGATCTCTTAAAGAAAACTTACTTCTTCACCATACATTTTCACTTCATTGATAACCACTAATACTCTCGTAAATTAATTTGAAATTGACTTCGATTCTTCCATGAAGTGACAATATTTGACACATTTTGAAAAATCATATCATCAAGAGCTTGATGAATCATGCTAAGAGTATTGATCATTCCTGTTAGTTGCTTGTTGTAAGTCTCTTTGTTCTTGAGACATGCCTTCTTCATTTTGAGGTTCAAAACCTCACTCTAACAAATCCCGCAAATCTCGACTTTCAAGATATGCCTTCATACGAATGCACCACATACTATAGTTATCATTAGTGAGTTGAACAACGGGATGAGAATTACAGTTTACAATCTCTTCTTTTCACAATTTTGTAATCTTGATATGATCACTTTTGTTGAAAATTTGGATATGGAACAACTTCTAGAAGAGGAGAAGATAATATTTTAAATAACACTCATGTTATTTCTTAACACCCCAAAAAATAACTTGTGACTACAATCACTAGCCACTTATATGCTTCACAGAACATAAATTTAATCTAATATATGAATTAGATTTAAATGCAAACTAGTCCCTAATATAATTCATGTATTTTCCAAATACATGAATACAATAGTGCATTAATTATTCATAATAATTCCAAAAGATATGAATGAAATTGACTAAATAAATGATGAACTTAAACAAATGAAGTGTATAATTTGAATACATGCATTGTCCAGCCATTTACACATCTGGGGTGTGCAGAAAGAGCTAGTCCAGTTGCTCGCTGGTTCAAATCTTTCTCCAAAAGAAATTTGATTTTTCACTACACTTCTGCCTTATTTTATCTTCACAAATTTGAGTCCAACTTAATAAAATAAATAACGTCCTATTAAAAGCTGTGAATTTGAGGATGAATTTTGAGATCATGACTCAAGTTTTTTTTATCTGAAATCCATAAAGGCTTGAAAATTTTAGCTTGCATAACAAAAGGACCAAGGATTTGAAATCAGTTATTCCAAAAAAGCAAAAAATTGTTAAAAACAGGGGATTCAATCACTCTAAGTAGTGTATTAAAGTTCATAATAGTCAATCCATTTATCTAAAACCTTCAAGTGGAAATAGTTACAAATTTGCTAATCTCTTCGACCTTGGGCCGGGGGCTGGTGTTGGGGGAGAATAAAGTTGCTGTCAAATACATGATAATTTTTTCAGCTCAAGCGCATTAAGGCCTGATTTGAGTTTGAGTCCAGCAACAGCTGAATCATGTTCAGTTGATCCTATTAGAAGGTGGCGCCGGGATTGAGTTGTGCTCTATCTTTATCGAGCTCAAGCTTGCTTAAAATAGTTTTTAGCTCCTTTGCCACTTCATTCATTGTAGGCCTCTCCTCTGATAGTCTTCTTAAGCACCTCTCTGTCAGCATAGCAACTTCTTTCAGCTGCTTCTCCATCTGCAAACGGTGTACAAGAATTTCATGCAGGCCTTCTCCATCTCCTCCGGCTGCAGATACAAAATTGTCAGCGAGAGTTTGCTCTCCTTCTGGCCTATCCAAATCCACTACCTCTTTTCCTGTCAATATCTCTGCCAATACAACTCCAAAACTGTATACATCGCCCTTTTTGGTCGAAATCCCTGAAATATCATTCTCCGGATCCAAGTAGCCGAGTGTACACACACATCCATTGAGTGAAGGCTGTGAAATTTTTACATTGTAACTAGAATCTAAGAATATGCAGAAGCTGGTGATGTCTCCATGAACAATTGGCAATTCCCCAGCAGAATGCAAGTATGCCAGTGAACTTGCAGTTTCAAAGGCTATCTTGAGACGAAGGTCCCATGAAAGAAAATATTCTTGATCGTGAATCAAATCGTACAACGTCTTTCCGGTGAAAAACTCATAAACTAAGAATGGGTCGGGTGTCTCTAAACAACAGCCAATCAGCTTCGCCACATTCACGTTGCTTATCCGAGAAAGTACGATCAATTTGCGAATGAAATCCTCAATGCAGGGTGAATACGATGTTTCATATTTCTCTATAAAGAAAGGTTTGTTCACTCCGTCATCTGGTAATGTTCCTTTGTATACCGCGGGTTGATTATATCCATCTCTGAAAACGATTGTAGTCTCGTCGTAGTTGTTTGTAGCCCTTTTGAGATCTTCTGCGGTAAAAATTTTAAGTCCTTGCCTTCTCGAAAGCATTTCTTGTAAAATTAATCCACCATTTTCCTTGAAAAGCTTGTGTCTTAGTTTAACAACTTTCTGTTTCTTGCTTTTCCAAAATATCCAAGAACTTCCAACAAAAGGAAAAATGGAACCTGTTTGAAACGTGGAAATTTTTGAGTTAATCCAGCTTCACAGTCAACATAGTTTTTGAATCATTAACTCCACTAAACACTGCCAAATAGATCCTAACAATAACAAAACATTCAATTAAGTGCAAGCACAAAAACTGAAGAACTTACCCGCAACAATATATATTAAGATAGAGAACTTTGTTTGATCTTTGGGACGACAACCTGTGCCATCTTTCTTTCCATCACCTTCAAATCCCTTAGGGCAAGAACATAAATAGCTTCCTAGCAAATTTGTGCAAGTTCCTTCACAAGGTCTTGAAATGCACTCATCAATATCTGGAACGATGCCAATCTATTTGTGAGCACATCTAGTAACAACAAATATAAATAAAGTATCATACCAATAACAAACACAAACTTAGCCATAATGATGATTTTCAAGAAAATATGTGGTCAAAAAGTAGGAAAATATTTGAATTTACGTGCAGAATACTTTATTGTTTGAATGTGTGGTTAAAAATAAATATATAGAAAAAAGAGTTTGGGAATAATGATTATCAAACCGTGGCTTAGCCCCCGTTTGGCTTCCATTATTTTTTATTATTACACATTCTCTAATAAAATAAAATTACACGTAAACCCAAAAACTTCTCATTCTTTTTAACTACAAATTCTCCAAAAAATTACTGTTCTTATTATTATATCGTGGAATAATCAGGCCAAAATTTTTATTAATATAATAATTACCATGACAACCATCAACAAGGTAAGGATTCCCTTGATATCCCATTAAACAATTGCAACGATAACCAAGTCCGTTGGCTAAATCAATGCAATCACTATGCGGAGCTCGACAAGCATAGCTTGAAAGGTCTTCTAGAGCTACTAGGCACGTCCCGTTCCCTATAGACCAGTCCAGCACGACAGGGACAGTCTTCCTGCCCCGCAAATCTTGGAGATCCAAAGATGAGAAGTTGAAAGCCTCTGCTTCAACTACAAAAGCATAACCACATGGGTTGAAAGTTTTCACCCTTGAGTGATTCTGAAAACTCCGGATGTCAATCAAAAAGTCCTTAACTCCCTCAGGGATTGAAGTCTGACAGCAGCCAAGGCCAGCGCAGGTTCCATCAATCACGCTGTCGATTCTATGACACCATGATGCGCACCCAGCACTCCGTTGCTTCCATTCCTCGGAACCATCAACAACTGCGTAAGTGTCGCACCCAACAACAGTGAACTTGTTTCGCGCTCCTGAAAAATGGAATTTGGACAAGGCGACCTTCGAGATGCTGCCATTTATTTGGGAGCCGGACTTTCCATAACAATAGCTGGCCACAGAAGCAGCAATTCTTATCTGCCCATCGATTGATATGTTAATAACTTCAATTTCACCGAAGTTCAGAAATGGCTTGGGAGGGTTGTAACTTTTGTTGCAATTAATAAAGAAGGATTCATCAAGATGGCAACCCGAAATAGTTCCAAACGGAAAGGGGACAGGGATATCTCCACATCTGGTTGGACAATAGGGACTGGGCTGAAATGCGAAATCCATCATTGATGGCATTAGCATTGTACCAAGCAACATGATTTGCAAAATTATTGAAAAAGAATTCATGGTTTTCTGAGTGAAATGATTATCTCTAGGGTATAAAATGTTCAATTATCTCTTCGATGACATTAGAGGATCTACTGATTTTGATGACTTGATTTAGTTGTTAGAAAAGAAGAGGAAACTGCTAGTGTGGAATTTGCTCCCACTTCTTTAACAGTTGAAATTTAAAACCCAAAATAGAGAAGGATTGGATTGTATATTTTCTTGCGTTAATAGAAGTACCAGCAGAAGTCTGAGTATTTATGATCTGAAAAAACGCGTAAAGCTTGTTCGGCACAGGGTTTTCCAAGGAAAAAAAATTATTTTTCTATGTACTTTTAGTTAAAAGCAAGGAAGAGTTGTTAGACTGCGTGGTTAAAAATAAATTTGAGAAAAAAAATCTTTGTAATAATAATGGATTGTACAAGTGGATGAATAATAGTGCTTGCATATTGTTAAGATTTGGAATTCTATCTTAAATAGTCGACATTATTAAGAGCAGTAGCCTAAAATCTTATAAGTTGGTTTATATTTTCATATTTATTCGATGTGAGATTTTAATCTTTAACATGCCCCTGTAAGATGATGGCTTGGTTGAGCAAATTAATTTTGAAATATGTATGCTCATTTATTGAGTTTTAATCCGATCGAATTTCTCGTTGAAACTTAATGGACTTTAATACCATGTAAAGATTTGGATTTCCATCTTAGAAGGTTGATTTTGTTAAGAGGAGTAGCCCAATTCTTTTTAAATTGGTCTATATTTTCATCTTTATTCGATGTAAGTTTTTATTTCTTAACACACATAACGCGTTATAATATTGTGAAACTACTAAGTAACTTCATGATTCAATGCCGTGTACAAATTGCATAGTAATGGTGGAATGTACAAAAAAAGTTGTAACAATGTGAAGAAGCTACCAAGTAACTTCAAATATTGAGTAAGTTATAAGCCAAATGCAAAGGCATTCAACAATCACTTATCACCTGTCCTGTGGTCTGGGGCTGAAATTTCCTGGAAACTACCAGTATGGATATTTAGTAATCAAATCCCTTTGAACCCTTTTTGTTTTTCCTTTACAAATCTTGACAAGGCACATATTTCTTCATGAGCACCTTCCAGTTTTTTTCTTCATATCTGTCTCATAAATCTCAAGAACTTTCATTAATTTGCACTTTCCAGGTTAGTAACTCTCTTTCTGCAGAAATCTCTTTATTAGGTGCATGACATCCTAATAGCTGAGTAGGTATTCCTTTCCAACATTCAGAAATTCTATTGTGTGCAATTACATTTACAGAAAAGCTTGTCCATGTTTGATTTGAGTGATTTTTTAAGATTACCATTAGTCTACTCTTGAAAGTGAATTTTATTCCATGAATATGATATCTATCTAGTGTGAATATATGACAAGGGCAGAGTATTTCTATTGATAGGCTCGAGTTGGACATCCAATTGCTTTGATTTGAATTATCCGGAAAATGTCTAATATAATCGAACCTATTTCTCGATTCAATAGAAGCTCAAAGAGGTGAATAGGGTTTCAAATAATAAGAGATATATATTAAACAGGTTCGATGACGTCTATTCCCAATCCTAAATGGAATCGAATAACGTAGGATCAATATGTAAACATATATGTTCTTTAGATGTACAAAAAATGGATAGTGATATTTCGTTTTATTTTATTAAGAAAAGATTCCAGAACATTTCAGTATTCAAATCTTGCTTTATGCTACATTTTAGTGGAAAAAACTTGTCTAATACTCATTACCATACATACACCAAATATCCGAAGGAACCATGGCTATGTCTTCATTTTAAGCAAGAATTATCTTCTTTATCATCATATTTGTTGATACATTTGTGTTGGGATTTTTACATTTTCACAATTTGAATAAAGAAATGGCTTGGCAGGGTTGTAACATTTATTCCAAGTAATGAAGAAGGATTCATAAAGATGGCAACCCGAAAAACCGAAAGGGGACATGGATATCTCCACATCTGGTTGGACGATAGGGACTGCGCTGAAATGCCGAATGGATCATTGTTTGCATTCGCATTGCCTCAAGCAACATGATTTGCGAAATTATTGAACGAGAATTCATGGTTTTCTAAGTGAAATGATTATCTCTAGGGGATGTTTCAGTTCCCTTTTCGGTTATGAAAATGCCCAATTTTCTCTTTGATACATTTAGAGGATCTATTGACTTAGTCATCAGTAAAGAAGAGGAAACTGCTAGTGTGGAAGCCGCTCCCACTTCTTTAACAGTTGAAATTTAAAACCCAAAATAGAGAAGGATTGGATTATATATTTTCTTGTGTCCACACAAGAATCATTCGTGAGCAGTAGACTATAATTTATCTACTGGATAATTAAAAATACCAGCAGTCTGAGTCTTAAAAATTAATCATCTGTAATAAACACCCTCGCACAATGTATGGCCGGCCCGTGTGAATTTAAAAATTCCGACATGTGGTACCCACCTCTGTTGTGAGTAGTAGGTAAAAGATTTGGTAAAAAAATTCGGTACGTGTAGTATTGTCCATATTAGATAAAACTACATAAAGCTTGTTTGGCACAGGGTTTTCCAAGGGAAAAATGATTTTTCTAGGAACTTTTAGTTAAAAGCAAGGAAGAGTTTTTAGACTGCGAGGTTGAAAATAATTTTGAGAAAAAATAATTAAAAAAAAAAGAAATTCTTTCATAAACAAGCTTTAAGAAGCATCATGATAAGTGTAATAATAATAAATTGTGCAAGTGGATGGATAATAATGCTGTGAAACTACTAAGAAACTTCGCGATTCAATGCCGTGTACAAATTGCATATTATTAGTGGAATGTACACAAAAGTTATAATAATGTGAGGAAACTACCAAGAAACTTCAAATATTGAGAAAGTTATGAGCCAACTGTAAAGTCAGGGCTGAAATTTCCTGGAAACTACCAGCGTGGAAATTTTGTACTTAACCCATTTGAAAACTTTTTTGTTTTTCTTGTATATATCTTGACAAGGCACATATTTCTTCATGAGCACCTTCCTAATTTTTTCTTCATATATATGTCTCATAAATCTCATCAATTTTCATTAATTTGCACTTTCCAGGTTAGTGACTCTCTTTCTGCCCAAATTTATTTTTTAGGTGCATGACCTCCTAATAGCCGAGTAAGTTGGTATTCCTCTCTAACTTGCAGAAATTCTATTGTGTGCAATTACATTTACAAAAAAGTTTGTCCTTATTTGATTTGGGTGATTTTTTAAGATTAGCATTAGTCTATTCTTGAAAGTAAATCATATTCCATAAATAAGATACCTATCTATTGTGATCATATGACAAGGGAAGAGTTCTTCTATTGATCGGCCCGAGTTGGACTTTCATTGCTTCGATTTGAATTATCCGGTGAATGTCTTATGTATATATAAAAAAGATGGTGAATCAAACCTATTTTTCGATTCAATAAAAGCTCAAATATGTGAATAGGGTCTCAAATAACGAGAGATATATATAAAACAGATCCGATTACACCTATTCTTAATCTTGAATGTAATGAAATGACGTAGAGATCACTATGTAAACATATACATTCTTTAGATGTACAAAAAATCGATAGTGATAGTTTCGTTTTATTTTAGTAAGAAAAGATCCAGAACATTTCAGTATTAAAATCTTGCTTTATGCTACGTCTTAGTGGCAAAAAACTTGTCTATTATCTTGTCTAATGCTCTTTACCATACATGCATCAAAGATCCGAAGGATTATCTCCTTTATTATCATATTTGTCGATACATTTGAATAATCGTAATCTTGAGTGCAGACTTTGGGTTAAAAATAGGGATGAACACTGAGTACATGATAAAGATGTCCGAAACAAGAGATCATGTTGCTGTTCGAATTGACAATATACTTCTCGACTTGCCTTCTACACCCTCAAAGCCTTCTATCTTTAGAGTCAATGATGATTTACGCAGAACGAATGAGAATCTTTATGATCCAAAAGTACTCGCAATTGGTCCTCTTCACCATGGTAAAGATCAAGTATGCAAGATGGAGCAGCAAAAATTCAGGTATCTAAAGCTTCTTCTTCAACGAAAAAATGAATTCAGTGTTGACAAGTATGTCATGGCAATAAGATCATTCGAAGAAAAAGCGCGCAAGTGTTATGCCGAACATATCAACTTTGACCAAGATGAGTTTGTGGAAATGCTGATTCTTGATGGATTCTTCATCATTGAGTTACTTCGTAAACATGGAATCGAAGAATTCAGGGACAAAGACGACACTATTTTTCAATACGAACAGATTCTCAGCCGGCTGCGTCATGATTTATTTTTGGTTGAAAATCAAATTCCGTTGTTTATTCTTGATCAATTGTTCAGCATGACAAAAACCGGAAATCCAGATGATAATATCGACTATTTAATCCATCTTTTTATTGATGATATTTCCCCATGGCCTGATATTTCAGAAGCAACTTTAAAATTACCAATCAAGAATATAGACCACCTTCTTGGCCTAGTACATAAGATTTGGTGTTCATCATTCGCCAAGATGGTGTCATTTGGACCTGATAAAACTGAAGAACATAAAGTTCTTGCTGTAAATTCTACCAATGAGCTGGAAGAGGCTGGAATAAAGTTTGAAAAGGATACGAAAAGTAATGGTTTAGATATTAAATTCATCAACGGGGTTATGAAAATCCCAGGTTTGCATATTTCAGATGAGTCTGAGACACTCTTCAGAAATATGATAGCATACGAGCACTGCTTTCCCGATGATCACGCAAAATGTATCACAGACTATGCATTCTTTATGCATTGTCTCATTAATTCCTCAAAGGATGTGGAAGCATTACGCCGTGTTGGAATCATTACAAATTTTCTAGGTGATGATGGAATGGTCTACCACATGTTCAACCGAATAGGCAGATATATCCCGACGTCTTCTGATTTCTGCTACCAACAAGTATTTGAAAAAGTGAATAGACATTGTGGTCAACGCCGGAACAGATGGATGGCGAACTTAAGGCGTAACTACTTCAATACTCCGTGGGCGTTTGTTTCTTTTTTTGCTGCTGTTATGTTGCTCATCTTTACATTGACACAGACTGTATTTTCTGTTCTATCCTATAAAAAGTGAAATCAACAGTTTTTAAAGATTTTTCCGTGTTATTGCAACAATTATAGTATAACGTTGGATGAACCTAATACTTCGTCTGGTAGACGTAAATTAAGATTGTGCACGACAAATTTATAATCCTAAGACCAAAGAAGGTTTAATGATAATTTTGACAGGCTATGGGGCTCAATATTGACTTTGATCATTACATTGTTAAATTCGGACAAAGTAATGCTACAATTTTGTTTTTTATTATTTATTATAAAGGTGCTAATACAACTCAGGCATAATCAAAGCCACGTGATAAAGCCATTAAAAGAAATACCTTTTTTTCTTTCTGTCCCAGCTTTCTCCTCTGAGGAATTTTCGATCTTTGTTCTTTGTTCTACATCTCAACCAAAGCCCCTAGTTTCCTCTTTAACGAATCTCCAATCTCTCTACTAGTACTTTCCCCACTATTGCTAGTAGTATTTTCATTGCTGCAGGTATTATTCTTGGCGCCGCTATGTTACTTTGGTGTGAAGCAGCGCCAGGACGGTGCACAACCACTAGCAAAGTCACCGCCTTTGTGTAGCGCCAATGCCGTGTACAGAATCGCCGCTGCTATGCTATCTGTGCACTGACATTCCACTCAGGCACCGTTGACCACAGGTTGCGACCTCCCACCGCTGTTCAGCACGATCGATTGTCCGATGCCTTCAAATTTTGCCTTGAATTCTTCAATCTTCCTTTGTCCCAAACCATGATGCTCGGACTCGGGTACGGGTATCCGGTATGGATACATATCTAGGTGTCGGATTTTTTATTTTTTAAAATATTGGATACGGGGACATGATTAAAAAGGGTCCAATTTTCGGACACAGGTACGTGGATACGTCTTTCAAGGTTCAATTTTTTTACTAATTCAAGAAGGCATTTTGAATAAATCAAAACCCAATATTCACAAAGAAGGAAATGGATATTGAATAAGAAATTGAGACGAATAAAATAGAATTTTGGGGTTTTGTTTTCATTATAGATATTATTAAATGTTATATAAAATAGCAAATAAGGGACTTAATTATAATTTGTATTTAGTGGAGAACTAATTAGAAACGGGAAAGAAGAAAAGAAAAGGAAAAAAAGAGAAAGAAGAAAAGCAAAAACAACGAAGTGTCCGATTAAAATTTAGAGGATCCGACACCTATCTCATACCCATACCCATGTCGTGTCGTGTCCGACATGGGTACTCCAACTATTTTGAAGAGTCCAAGCATCAAAGGTCTCAAATTAATTGCAATAAAACGTTAAACAAATAATTACATAGAGATATACGCACGCTTTTATGGTGTTTAGGAATCTAATTGAAAAACGACAAAAAATAAAATTACATCTTTCCACAACCATACGTTACAAAATAAAACGCGCTCCACCGACGAAAGGTTTAGCGACTAGGAAGATATGGTTGCTATAAGACACGACCAACACCAAGTAATGGTTGGTATAGGGTTTGGTATGGTAAAATTGGACTAATTTTGTTATGCTCTATTGCAACCAATCCTTTGTCGCTGATTCAAAGAATCAGGGACTATACATTTGATTGGTTATTAAGGTAGTGCGAAAAAAAGAGAAAATTTTTTCTTGCATAAGAAAACCACTTCGCAACCACTGACTGGTCCGTGAACCTAGTCTTATGCAACCACTCATGCCTTGGTCGTTAAAATATTTGGCGCCATAAAATCTCACTTTTTCAATTTGCTTTGGCATTTTTTAGCTACCAATGGTGATGGTTGTTGAATATCACACCACTCCAGCGACCACGGAATGG